ATCTTTATCATTTTTTGTAATTCTAAGTGGATACTCTCCCAAAATGCCTGGGTTTTCTTACATAGCCACCACATGTGATAGAAAGTGCCTGATTTGTCTCCACACCTCCAGCAGTTGCTTGGGACACTTCTGTACATCTTCGACAATTTCCAAGGTGTTAGATACCATCGATGATGCATTTTTAGAAAATTCTCTCTTAAGACATCCATGGGATTATTTTGATGCATCAGTGTTAGTCCAGGTCACTGGCTCCGCCACAATCCCAGCCGGCAACTTTCTATGTTCCTATTTAAATATTGAGTATATCCCTAGGCTCCCCATCAGAATAAGGCAGGGGTCAGCAAACTTTTCCAGCAGTCCCTTAGACCTTGTGGGGGGCCAGACTATATTTTTTTTTGGGGGGGGGAATGAACGAATTCCTATGCCCCACAAATACAGTAGCCCAGAGATGCATTTTAAATAAAAGGGCACATTCTACTCATGTAAAAGAACACCGATTCCCAGACCATCCGCGGACCAGATTTAGAAAGCTATTGGGTCGGATCCGGCCCCCCTGGCCTTAGTTTGCCTACTCCTGGAATAAGGCGATGACATTGCTGCATGTGTGGATCTTAAGAGAATGTGGAAGAATTGCTGGAAAATTGTGTTTGCCTTCCACAGACCTCACCAGGTTCCAGATACCCTGAAAAGGTGTCCTGTTAAGCCCACACTGTTGCCAGTCAAGGTCAGAACAGCTTTTAGGAGGAACTCTTCATTGCATGAGAAATTTCACCTTTTTGAATAAGTGTTAATTACGTCAGCACGACTGACTTTGTGTCCCTAGCATTGATGGGCTCACAGGAGAGTATCTTTTCCCTGGCAGTGTGTGGGAGATGTTGTGTGGTGTGCTGGAGGGCAAACACACCACAGCACAGCTCCAATACTCCCCCCCCCCACAGGAGGAGCAATGACATCATTTCCCAGAGCCCCAGGGCAATGGGTGGACCCCCTACTTGCTCTGGGAAGGGAATGAGGTGACAGCAAGGCTTTCAAGTTTGTCTGGTACAGATTAGCTCAGAGGAAGTCAGGCAAAGAGGGGAAAGGAACCAAACGCAAAGGCTAGATACATCTTTCCTTTTCTTTGATAGAGTTCCTACTTCACACTTAGCAGCTTAAATAGATGCACGTCTTTGCAAAGGGGTCAGCATTTCTTGATTGAAATGCCAAAGGCTGTGGTTTAGTTCAATGCAGTTAAATGGAGGACTAACATTTTTGTGGCAGCCATGTTTTAAGGGCTGCACTTTTAAGTTACAGTGCGACCGCAAGTTTTCAGCTGGATGAACAACTCTGATGTTTGGAAGGGATAGGCCCCTAGATTGGGATGGCTAACCTGTGCTGCACAGACTGTATCCAGCGCCACAAAAAGTGTTTTTGGCCTCTCCAAGAACCCCACCTATCTATTTATGTTTTTAAAATTAATGACTGCCCTCTCTCCAGTTAAAAAAGTATGGCTTTACCAAATGACAAAATAAAATCTGCAGATGGAAGGCAAATGGCTGAGCCATTCATTTAAAATCAGTACAAAACACCAAGCCTTTCTTTCCCTCTCCAATCCGGCCAGGACCTTCTTGGCTCATTCCTCCGACATTTTCTTAAGGCTATGCTCTGAGACTTTGGCCACTTGACTGCTACAGACTCTGCTTTCTGGGGCCCTCCTGCAATCCCCTTTAGATGCCCATGGCAAGACTCTGCCAGCCTCTCGCCCCTTTTAGAAGAGGATCGATCCTGCTCTTAAAACCCACGGGAAATCACCCAGCGTGTGGAGCGATGGAGAACCACCACAGGCGCTTCAGAACCAATGGCCGCACCTGCTTCTCCCTTCTGGTGACATCAGGGCAGCTCAGCCAATCGCCACCAGAGCCACTATCACTAGCACCGCAGCCACGAAATTACCTCCCCGCAAACTGCAAACACACCCTTTGTTCACAAAGATTGTATTCATCCCCCAAAGAAATGAGACAGAGGTCAACAACTTCTCTGCAAATATTCTCTGCTTGCATTTTTTTCCTTCTTCTTCTTTACATATGTATATATATATATTTATATAAAAAAGGACATTTTTATTAGAAATGTAAGTTCATTTCATAGATTTTTATTTTGGAGTTTTGGCCCATCCTTACCAACTAGGGAAAGAAAGAATGAAGGAAGGAAAAGAAAAGAAAAAACACACGCACACACAAAATGGTCATGCACAAACGTTTTTGGAAGCCATCAGCAACTCTCCTGAAAATGGGGGAGGACTTTTAACGGGCTGGCGGGGCGCGCATGTGTAAAACAAAACCTGTAATGCATTTTAAGAGAGACTGCTTGCTTCCTCGCTTGTTAATGGCTTACCCTCTTCCTACAGCTCTCCCCCACTTTTGTAGGGTTGGCGTTATGAACAGTGATAAGCCTCTCGACCTTTGCTGGCAGAGAAGCCTGTCTCCTTTGCTGACAGCCCAGTTTAGCTATAATTCAGACCTGCGGCTTCCTGCTACAAGCCCCCAAATCCCTCGTTCAGATAATTCAAATCAAGAGGGTGCTGGGAGAAATAACCCCCTATTTGGGATCTCAATAAACTGGTTCGTGCGAGCACCCGTTAGCCACTGGGTGCCTGGAAGTCTCCTGGTGACTGTAGTAGTGACTGCTTTTGACAGCTGCTCCCGACCCACTTGCTATCCGTTTCCCCGCACACTCGTCGCCTTCTCTGTTGCTGCAGGAAGTCTTCCACGAGGCTCCCAAAAAGGCGCTGCACGCAGCAGGCGGCGTCACAGAAATCAAAGCTGCTACAGTCACCTGGAGGCTTCCGGGCACAGAGAAGGCGTAGCAGCTCCTAAGTTCCCCGCAGGAACTGGCAAGGGGAAGAGGGATTTATGTAGCCGTTGTTACGACAAAACACTGCTAAATTTCTCGCTCTTTTAAAACTGTGCTTTTCACAAAGACATTCATAACGCATCACTTTCCAGTCAATGCTGCCCAAAACCTGTACGATTGTAAGGTTAGGAGGGTACCAAAAAAATAAAAATTCCTCCCCATTTCTGCTTTTGCGTGTGGATGCAGGTTTTTTAAAAGGCGCACACTTCCTTGCCCTGTCTCTCCCCCCCCAGGTGTTCTCCCCCTGCCAGAGAGTGGCTGAGGATGACTGTGAAGCCCCCTACCTAAAAAAAAAGGGGTTAACTAACAAGAAGGAACTGACAGATGCAACAGATGAAAGCAGACAGCGTCCATCATGAAAGACTCTTTTTGAGATTGTGTTTCTTGTTACCTTAGTTCAGATTTTAAAAATGTGGGGGGGGGGGGCGAGGGAATGACAAGCTGCTCTGCTGCGAAGACCACCAAAAACTTTGTAAACAGAAGGTGTAAGTAGAATTTGCCGCTGGGGGGAGGAATTCACACACAAACACACACCTGAGCATGGGGTTATTGGGGTGGGGGGAGAGACTTGTTAAATCACCCGCCCCTTGCAGACCTGATGCTGCCATCTCCCCCCGCCCCCGCCCAGATGTTTCTGAACAGATGCCTGCGATAACGCAGCTTGCTGCATCAAGACTGACAGCTCCCCCGCCCACCCCCCTTTTAATCTTTTTATTTTTTTAAATTAAAAAAAAAAGGGCTCGGTGAACCTGCACATTTAAAAACAGCGCACACATTTTTTATACAGAGAAAAGGAATGTCTGCTACCTCTTTGCATTTTATGCAGCAATTTCCAAGCTCCCTTCCGCTCAATATAGGGTCTCTTGTAAAAAATAAAAAATATTTCTTTGCTCTTTTTTTTTTAAAGTACGGCATGATTTTAAGTGCTATGTACACACACTTGGTATAGCATGGGGAAATCATAGACGGGAAAGGAGATTTGGGGGGGGGGGGGAGGCCAGCCGAAAGATTGGACAGGGAAGGAAAAGCAAAAAAAAAACCCCAACAACACAAAAACCTCACGCAATGAGGTATCGGACACACAAATGCACGCCCCCCCACATTCACATGGCATTGCCCCCCCCCAAAAGCAGAATTTCATATTTGAATACATGGAAATAGGCTCGCTTTCCTCCCGCAACAGAACCACGTAACTTTTCTTTTTTTAAAGGGGGAAGGGGGCAAAGGACAGCTCCACTCTACACACACACACCTGTTTCTAAAATTCATATTAGGAAAAAAAACATTCATGTCTCCAGGGAGCTGTGTCCCAGCGATCATTTGCGACACCTCCCAGGCTCAATGGTGGCTGCTTTCGAAGAGGTGCCAGATCCCAGCGTGTTTGCGACCGCGAGCGATGGAGGAGAAGGCACTGTCTAAGACCCAGAGGACTGGGCAGGAGGGCAAAACTCGGCCAAAGAAGGGAACGTTGACCCTTGGGAACCATAGAGGCGTGGGGCTCCCTGGGAGCAGGCCCCGTCTCGGCTGCACTATGCTGGGAGCTGTAAACTGGGGCAACTTGTTAAACAGGGGGGAAAGAGGGAGGAGAGAAGAAGATATTTGGGGGAGAGGAATACTCTAAATGGCTATGGGAGAGAGAGAGAGAGAGAGAGATTGGCTGCCCAGTGGGAAATAAGTGAACTAAATACACCCAGGAAGAAAAGAAATGTTTTCGTACTCTAAGGAGGTTGTGGCAGGACGAACAGCGGCAAGAGGTTTTCTGCAGCAGTGCTAAGGAGATTTCAACGCAACGAACTAAGGGAACAGTAAGAAAACTCGGCAGCTAGTATTGCCAAGTGCTCAGTGAATGCTTCCCATGCCATGGATGGTGTAAGAAAATATATATATATATTGAGAGTAGAAAGAGGTGCAAGACAGAACTCCCGCTGTGGGGACAGGGTGGGGGTGGTGGCAAAGGCTGAGTGCTCTCCTGCCCCACCGGCAGCCAATTCCCACCCCCAAAACTGTGCTCTAGAGAAGCGGTGTGGAATCATGAAAACACCGGCCTTTGTGCAACTCGCAAACGGTGGCGCCTTTGCATGAAACTCGTGCAGGAAATAATACAGGGGTTTGGTGATGGCGGGGAGTTTAATTGTCTCGACAGAAACGCACACGCACACCAACGGAAAGAAACATGCATGGGGTGGGAAGTGGGGTGGAAGGGGAGGGGGGCATTTGAGAAGAAGAAAAGGGGTTTTGGAAATGGGAGGCTCAGAAATGCATGATTTCCCGGAGCTGTTGCAAAGGTCCATCTCTCTCTCTCTCCATTTCCCCTTCACCCCAAAAAAACCCCATCCAACCCACTCCTGTTCTTCCCTGGGCCCATAAAACATTTGCGGGATTGTTGCGAGAGAGTGACAGTTCAGAGGACAAAGACGAGGTATAATACTGAAATAAATGATTTTCAAGTTTCGGGGGCCGGGGGAGAGGAAGGATGGCGACGATGGGGACAAGGGCAAAACATGGTTCTTCTTCGTGTGTGTGATTTCCCGACGTCCAGAGAACAAAGGCTCCGTCCTTTCGCTCGTTGCTTTTCTTGGGGGAAGAAAAGCAAAGATCTCAAGGTTTTCTTTCCTACATGATCCTTCAGAATTTCGCATGGGAAGAGAGTAAAGCGTCTCTAGCTTAGTTCGAGAGGTCCTTCTCCCCCACTCCGAAGCCCCCAACCTACACCCCGAACCCCATCAGTGTCTAAAAGAATCCGGTAAAAAGGGGCGCTGCGTTCGAGAGACGCCTCGGGAGGAAGGCAGCTCCTCGGTTCCTTCCCTACTTCCGCCATCCAGCTCCCTCCGACAAGGACTTTGTGAGGGTCTCTGGCTGTGGTGGGGGTGGATGGGGGGGCCGGGCGGTTTCGCCGGCATGTCTGGGGAGCGCGGCAGGCGGTCACATGATGCCGTTGGTGAGGTACTGGAAGCCGTCGTAGAGCTTGGTGGTGATGGAGCGCATGCTGCCGTCCACCATCTGCTCAATCAAGAGCTGGAGCTGCTCCTCCGTCATGTTCATGTGGAATCGCTCCTTCAGGTTGCGGATGGTGCTGGAGCCGTGGAAACAGGGCAGCTGGGAGCCTGTGGAGAGGGAGAGGGGAGAGTCAGCGCCTTCTGGAGCCCCAAGGAGCGTGGCGCCGCTGCGGAGAGGACACGATCCAGCTCTTCTCTGTCTGCCGGGAAGGCTGGGAAGTGTTTGTCTTATTTAATCTCGCAAGGTTTACGCACTGCCTGAACCCTCCAAGCGCTTTACAAAGAGAACGAAACGTTAAAATTGCAGGTGTCCCCGCCCCCTTACGCAGGGAATACGTTCCGAGCCCCCCGCGCACAGGAATCTCAACAAAGACTCATTGATTGGTCGAGTTGGGAGGGACCCCAAAGAGCATCCAGTCCAACCCCCGGGAGAATAGACAGAGTGGCTCAGGCAACCCAGCCAGATGGATGGCACAGAAATTATGATATTACTATTATTATTATTATTACTCCATGATGGTGACTGTAACCACGGTTTACTGTATTTTTCTCTCTATAAGATGCACCAGACCATAAGACGCACCTAGTTTTTGGAGGAGGAAAACAAGAAAATAAATATTCTGAATCCCAGAAGCCAGAACAGCAAGAGGGATCACTGTGCAGCCTGCATTTGCTCCATAAGACGCACACACATTCCCCCTTACTTTTTAGGAGGGGAAAGGTGCGTCTTACAGTGCGAAAAATACGGTAAGCTGTCATTTAGCACCTAGCACAGGCACCCCAACCTTTGGCCCTCCAGATGTTTTGGACTACAATTCCCATCATCCCTGACCACTGGTCCTGTTAGCTAAGAATCATGGGAGTTGTAGGCCAAAACATCTGGAGGGCTACAGGTTGGGGGTTCCTGACCTAGCATATATATCTGAGTTTCTATATCTGAGTATTGTTATGATTTTTTTGGGGGGGGCAACACGATTGCCTCCCACCGTGTCCACCCATAAAGGTTGGTGCCACCACTATGAAGGCCCCTCTGTAGCCGCCATTCAACTCGTTGGCGTAGGTTACTGCCTCGAAAGCGAAGGCTGCGTCGAGGGCTTTAAAATTGGCTCGTTCATGGTAAAGATACCCTGCAGAACTATGCAAAACAGGCACTCTCGCGACCCTGCTCTTCTGCCCAATCGCAGCCCACTTTTCATAGAGGGGGGCGGGCAGGATGTGCCGGCGATGCCCTTTTTTGGAAGCCTTGAACTGCCTTGCTCCAACAGGTCCTTAAAGGGCCACTGAAATCTTCTGGGGAAGGGGTAAGCTTTTAAAAAAGGGGGAGAAACACCCTGTGGGAATTACGCAATTCATGGAGGATAAAAGTACCAACAGCTGCTGTTTGGAGTAGGTAGCTAAAGGGAAGCCTGAAAGCTCAGGAGCAGTCTACCTCCAAATGCCAGGTGCTGTAGGTTGGGTATAAATAAAGGGGCTGGCCATCACTGTCTCTGGGAATGACTTCCAGAGAGGGGTGCCAGCCTCTTGCGGCAAAAAGAACACCAGACCAGGCGGACCTTTGGCCTGATCAAGCAAGGCAGTTGTGTTACTTTCTTATGGACTAGCAACTTATCCGAATACGCTGCTCTCGACACTCACTGATGACCTGAGCTACTGCGGGGGCCTGATTCTGCTGCGCTTCGCCCAAGCAACACTGGCAACCTGCAGGACAAACTGATAACAAGCGCTCTGGTTACTTTTTTAAAGAGAAACAAAAAAAGCCCTGTCCTTTCTAAAAGGCCTGTGCCTCCTTTCGGCCGCTGATTAAAGCGGCTTACAAGTTTTCCTTGCACTTCTGTTAAGAGGGCGCCTGTGTTACGGGGTTATTTAGGACCACGTGACCGGACGGCGGGCTCAACAGCTAAGGCGGATCTTTGAAACCAGACGACAACCTGAGTTTGTGTGTGCGCTGGGAGAAAACTACCCGGGTGGGTTAGGAGACCGGTGTTCCCAGAACCCTTTGCAGCGTCCCAGAGATCCTGGGCCTGGAAGCGCAGGTGCCCCTTTGTGGATGGGTGGACTGGGAGCCTCTCATATGTGGTGGAAGAGACACTCTACTGGCTTGGGGTGGGGCTGTTTGTGACCTGGTGGCCTGGCCTGAAACCCCAAAGTTGCCCCCCAAACCCACAAAAGCTACCTTGTTGCATTATCTCCACAATCTGGACGACTTTATCCATGTGCTTCCGAGCGGCGATGAGGCCTTGCAGCATCAGCATCTTGTAATAGTTGAACATGTCGCCATCCAAGCCCCCCATGACCTGAAAGGGGGAAAAGGGAAAAGGAGGAAAGTTCAAGATGGGCGTCCAAAGAAGGGATGGAGGAACAGGGAGGAGATTGCAGAGACCTCACTAAGGACTGGGAGGCTTAAAGCTTTCCTGCATGTGAAAAACTGTGGCAAACCCATATACTGTTCGGAGCCGCCCAGAGTGGCTGGGGAAACCCAGCCAGATGGGTGGGTTATAAACAATAAATAATAATAATAATTAATAATAGCTCTCAGGGAACTGCCATCGGCTCAGAGGCGAGAGGTGGAGGGGCAGTTGTGTTACAGGGAGCCTCCGAAAATCTTGCGAAGCAGTTCCTCTTCCGGCGAGGAGGAAAGCCCCACCTCCAGTGGAGAAGAGGTGCAAGGAGCTAGTAAGAGCCTTAACACTGCGCCTGAGAAAGCCAGAGAGGAGGGAGGCACACCCTTGCCGTCGCCCTGTCATGCGCAGTAGTTTGAGGCGCAGGGAGGGGCATAAAAGGCTGGGGGTGACGAAACTTTTATGTTGGGGGAGGTACAAGAACAGACCACTCCCGGATTCTGCTAGCGATTGAGACAGACATGAACTTATGATGCTCTGCACTGTAAATAGGTAAAGGGTAAAGGGACGCCTGACCATTAGGTCCAGTCGTGACCGACTCTGGGGTTGCGGCGCTCATCTCGCTTTATTGGCCGAGGGAGCCGGCGTACAGCTTCCAGGTCATGTGGCCAGCAGGACTAAGCCGCTTCTGGCGAACCAGAGCAGCGCACGGAAACGCCATTTACCTTCCCGCCGGAGAGGTACCGATTTATCTACTTGCACTTTGACGTGCTTTGGAACTGCTAGGTTGGCAGGAGCAGGGACCGAGGAACGGGAGCTCACCCCGTCGCGGCGATTCGAACCGCCGACTCGGCAAGTCCTAGGCTCTGTGGTTTAACCCAAAGCGCCACCCGCGTCCCTTCACTGTAAATAGTTTGCATCAAAATAAAGCCTGTAAAAGACAGGTCGGAGTCCTGCCTGGTTGCTCTCGAGCAACCGCAATAGGACCCCACAAATAGCACTAGAAGAGCCTGCTGGATCAGGCCAATGGCCCACTAGTCCAGCAGCCTATCCTCACAGTGGCCGACCAGATGCCCGTGCGAATCCTGCAAGCAGGACATGAGCACAGGGGCAACTCTCCCTTCCTGCCATTTCCAGCAAGTGGGATTCAGAAGCATCAGACATCATGGCTAGCAGCCATCGATAGCCCTCTCCTCCATGAGGAGATTCATTTCTTTCGATGGGATTGTTTCAGCAAAAGGATGCCTGTGCTTGAGACAGCTTGTGGGTTGACCAACCTCCTCGGCTTCAAAGAAGCATAAATAAGAAATAAGCCTTAACTGGACCTCTTGGCCACCGGCTGCTTCTTCCTGTCCTCCCTGCCCCTTCTTTAGAATATTCAAAAGCTGCTTGATCCAAGAAACTTCTCGCAAAGAACTGCAGACAAAAAACAAGGCAGGAGTTCTCTCTCCCTTCCACCCACCACCAACTTACATCGACGAACTCAGAGGTGAGTTTGAAGGCTGATGTCTCAAAGCCAAGATTCCGGGGTGAGCTGGAGAGGATGAACCCGAAATCTATGTGGATTATGTGTCCGTCTGCATCCAGCAAGATATTGCCATTGTGCCTTTGGGGGGGGGTTGCAGGGTGGGAGGAGACAAGGCAGAAAAAACATTATTTACTGCATTCATATCTTGCCATTTTCTACAAGCAGCTCAAGGAGGAGTACGTGGTTTTCCTCCTCCTTGTTTGGAAAAGGTCAACTATCTACTGCATGGCTTTTGTAAATTTTCCAAACACTTTCCCCTTCTCACAGATTACGTGGCAGCAAAGCAGGACTCAGGCAGCTGCCCGGAGAGGATGTGATTTAAGGAGCGCCAGATTTATTGTGACCATCCTTTCCTGAGAAGAGGGAGACCAGGAAGGTAGGGACACCCACGTTGTTTTATGGGACCTCCTCTCCTGGTACGCCCCGCAAAGGACCTTAAGGTCCACAGATGACAACACTTAGGAGGTCCCAAGTTGCAAGGTGGTTAGATTGGTCTCAACTAGGGCCAGGGCCTTTTTAGTACTGGCCCCGACTTGGTGGAACGCTCTGTCCCAAGAGACCAGGGCCCTGCGGGACGTGACATCTTTCCGCAGGGCCTGCAAAACAGAGGTGTTCTGCCTGGCCTTTGGTTTGGACTCAGTCTGACCCTTATGTTTCCGATTTATGGGCTACTATTAAAATGAGGCTGCATTTTAAATTGTATTTTAACAAACTGGTTTTTTGTTTGTTTGTTTGTCCCCCCATTATGTTTTATTGTAATTTTATTGATGTTAGCCACCCTGAGCCTGGCTCTGGCTGGGGAGGGCGGGGTATAAATAAAAAATTATTATTATTATGCCTGAACCCACTTCTGGCACCCAGGTAGAAGGCAGCTTTACTGAGCGGGTTCGTGGGCTTTGACGTCTGTTGTCAGTTGGCCCTCCCTAGTTGAGGTCCAGGGTACAGGGGGATATTTAACTTACCCCAGTGGTGCCACCCACTGGGGCCTGATGGGATTCCTTAGGGGGTCACCAAGAGGCAAGGGGCTGGCACTGGAGCGGTCAATGATCCTCAGACTTTGAAAATCCGAGATCGCTGGATGGAGTTCATCCACTTTGTTGAATTCACACAGCTAAATAGTTTCAACTGGGCTTTGAATGAATGTGCAATTAATCATTGCCGTTTTGACTTTTATTGTGCTGTTACCTTCCTTAGTGGGTTGTGCAAACCGCTATTCCAAACCATGTTTCTTATAGGGCAGGGTAGGCTGCACTGGGGGACACAGGTGGCGCTGTGGGTTAAACCACAGAGCCTAGGACTTGCCGATCGTCAGGTCGGCGGTTCGAATCCCCGCGGCGGGGTGCGCTCCTGTCGCTCGGTCCCTGCTCCTGCCAACCTAGCAGTTCGAAAGCATGTCAAAGTGCAAGTAGATAAATAGGGACCACTTTATAGCGGGAAGGTAAACGGCGTTTCCGTGTGCGGCTCTGGCTCGCCAGATGCAGCTTGTCACGCTGGCCATGTGACCCGGAAGTGTCTTCGGACAGCGCTGGCCCCCGGCCTCTTAAGCGAGATGGGCGCGCAACCCCAGAGTCGGACACGACTGGCCCGTATGGGTAGGGGCAGCTTTACCTTTACCTAGGGTGCACTGGGGGTGAATTTCTGGAAGCGAAAGGTTGGCGCTGCCTGAAAAAGTTTGGGAACCACTGGCGTTTAACTTGAGGGATTGTGGAGACTAATTAGGCTCTAGGCTTAATTGTCAGAAAGTGGCTTTCCCCTTTCTTTCCATCTGCATCCCCTGTCACTGATGCACTATGGGGCTGCTCCCTCTTGCTCTGAAACTAGCAGCAGCGAGGCTTCTCTCTGCAATGTGCTGAGCGCTCCTTTCCCACTGCCTCCCCCCAGCTTCCCCAAGTGCCCCCTCACCTGTCTTTGACTTGCAGCAGGTAGCAGACCAGGCAGTAGCCGGCGCAGCTCTGCACAAAGTTGCGCTGGGCGGTCAGGAAGGCCTCGGTGGTGTAGTTCCCATGCTCCTGCAGGAAGTAGTCCAGCAGGGAGAGCTGCGACTGCTTTTTGACCTGGTGGATGGAGACGGCGTTGACCACCGGCTCGATCATGCCGCTGTCGGCAGAGATGACGAGGATTTTGTATGGCTTGATCCACAGGGGGACGCGCTCCTGCTCCCAGATGGACTGGAGGAGGAAAGAAAACGAAAGAAAGAAAGGCGTTTTGCAACAGGAGACCCTTGTGTTTTTCGGGGGGGTGGGGGAGAAGTCCAGCACGCAAAATGTCCCTTTCAGAATTTTAACGGGCATCTACAGACTACAGGGATGTCCCAAACAGGAGGAGACGCTCGAAAACCGGGGTTCCACTGTATTATGATTTTTATTCAACTTTATATCCCACTTTTTTCCTCCAGGGAGCTCAAAGTGGCATGCCTAGTTCTCTTCCACCCCATTTTATCCTCACAACAACCCTTCAAGGGAGGTTAGGCCCCCAAGAGCTGAGCAGGAATTTGAACCCAAGCAGAGACACCACCTTGCCAACAAAGGTCCATATAGTTAAAGCTATGATTTTCCCAGTCGTGATGTATGGAAGTGAGAGCTGGACCATCAAGAAGGCTGATCGCCAAAGAATGGATGCTTTTGAATTCTGGTGCTGGAGGAGACTCTTGAGAGTCCCATGGACTGCAAGAAGATCAAACCTCTCCATTCTGAAGGGAATCAGCCCTGAGTGCTCACTGGAAGGACAGATCCTGAAGCTGAGGCTCCAAGACTTTGGCCACCTCATGAGAAGAGAAGACTCCCTGGAAAAGACCCTGATGTTTGGAAAGATGGAGGGCACAAGGAGAAGGGGACGATGGAGGACGAGATGGTGGGACAGTGTTCTCGAAGCTACCAGCATGAGTTTAACCAAACTGCGGGAGGCAGTGGAAGACAAGAGTGCCTGGCATGCTCTGGACCAGGGGGTCACGAAGTCGGACACGACTAAACAACAACAACCCTCCCCGGTGCTAGTCTGACACTCTAAACACTACACCAGCACTGCATCCAACTTGACCAAACTCAGAAGCCCTTGAGGGAGAAAGGAGAAAGGAGAAAGGAGAAAGGAGAAAGGAGAAAGGAGAAAGGAGAAAGGAGAAAGAGAAAGAGAAAGAGCGCCTTGAGGCACTGCTGTGGGGTATTCCCTACCTGAAGCTGTTTGAGCACCTGGAAGGCCAGCAGCTCTTGCCGGAGATCATCGCCACATTTCACAATCACAGAGAGGAGGCGCCAGTTTGGGAGGTGGCCGTACGGAGAGCCCTCCCGGATCCGCCTGCAAAAAAGCAGCAGGAAGCAGTTGGTTCCACCCTGGCCTGGCGCGGGAGGCTCAGGCCACCCTTGCCGAGCCCTGAGGAACCCGAACAGCCCCATTGCCCCACGCAAGAGATGGGGAGAGCCTTCCGGCCTGCAGCCAAAGCCTGGCTTCTTAGCACGTCAGGCCATGGAGACACAACTGGGGCCCCACCACCCTCTGCTCTGACCCCACAGTGCCCTCACCTGACTTTCTCCTGCCACGGCTCCTTTAGGGCGACGGCAGAAGGGTCTTCGGGGTCCCTCTTGAAGGACGTTGGAGTGTGGGCAAGCTGTTCCGAGAGGCGTCTCCTGCAAGAGGGAAGAGAAATGTTAATTTTTTGGGGGGTGGGATTTTGCTACACACGGAAGTGGAACTGGATTATACTATTCTCGGGTTTTTATAAGGGATGTTATATTCCTAGACCTGAACCCCTCACTGCCAAGCAGGGGACGTTTCTTCTAGACTCCCACTCACCTGATATCTCCAGCAGCTATGAAGACGGGCTCTTTGCTCTCCTGGCTGGTGATGCTGTCCACAGAGAACTGGGAGATGTTGTCACAGCTGTTGGTGTGAATCTCTGGGAGCTGGAGAACAAAGGAAGGAAGGAAGGAAGAGCTCAGTGGAAGCAGAGAGGTTTCATCCGTTTCCGTGACACATCGCTGAAGGAAAAGCCCTGCTTTCAGCATCGCTTTAGCTGTACCTTCAAGACCATCAAAAAAGATGCAGCCCATTTCACCCTTCTGACAAAAGTAATCGAATTCCTGATCCAGGGATTTTTCTTGGGCCTTTTTGACTTTATTGTGACCAAGTATAAGCCTCTTGTCTTCATCAGTGATCAAGTCAGCACCCATAAAAGTGGCAGTGGTGACGGCTGCAGCGGTACGTACTTGGTGTAATTAATGCCAATTCATAACTTCCATCATTTTCATCTTAAAGGTAAAGGGACCCCTGACCATTAGGTCCAGTTGTGACCGACTCTGGGGTTGCGGAGCTTATCTCACTTTATTGGCCGAGGGAGCTGACACACAGCTTCCGGGTCATGTGGCCAGCAGGATTAAGCCACTTCTGGCGAACCAGAGCAGCGCACGGAAACACCGTTTACCTTCCCGCCGGAGCGGTACCTATTCATCTACTTGCACTTTGATGTGCTTTTGAACTGCTAGGTTGGCAGGAGCTGGGACCGAGCAACTGGAGCTCACCCCGTTGCGGGGATTCGAACCGCCGACCTTCTGATCGGCAAGTCCTAGGCTCTGTGGTTTAACCCACAGCACCACCCGCATCCCCATTTTCATCTTAGGCACCAGCTATTTGTCCTTCGTTTTCATCAGCAGAGAAAATTATTTCACTGGACGGCACTGAAGCCCCTTGCTGACTTCTCTGCTTATATTTATCAAGCCTCCTTCTCTCGTCTTCTTGCTCCTTCTCCTTTTTTACATGTCTGTTATGCATAAGGGAGATTTGGCAAGCTAAACTGATGTGCTCTGATAATTCTTAATGACTTTTATGCATTTCTTCCCCTTTTCTCACACAAAAGGTAATAATAAGACAAGTTTAAAATGACTGGAAATATTCCACCAAAATGTTAAAAAGCCAGCCTTTTCATATTTGCGAAGCAAAGCTAAATGATAATTATTTCATCGAAATACCTCCACCTGCAGCTCCCCGATGTCGTCCACAGACCAAGCCTCGTCATCGTTGTCGTAGTTGGGGACAGTGGTGAAGCTGCTGGCCCGCTGCTCATGCGTGATCCCGCACTCTGGGAGGTTCTCCACGGACCGTGTGCTACGGATACGGTTCTCTGGGATCCGGGCCGGGACGTTAGTGGTGTCGAAGTTTTCACATTCAAGTACTTCCACATAGATTAGGTAAGGAGCCTGGAGACAGGGAGGAGGGAGGGAGAAAGTGAAAGAAGGACTCTGACTGGACAAGTTTACAACATCTGACAAAACAGGATGGCAGATTTGTGGTGACGTTTTGGGGACAGGCAGCTTATTTCTACTCTGGGCGAAGGAAGGCTCAGTGAACTGGTCTTCCTAACACTTGGCTCCTACTTCTAATTGCAAAGTGTGCCTCTGCCTCCATCATTATTAACTTTCGGAGGGGAATCTGGAAATGTCCCTTGGGAAAAGCTCCCTTCAAACTGTTTCAGCATGGATCCAGAAAAATGCATTCAAAGTTACGCATCGATGGTATACATATCAACCACTACTGAAAGGACTAAAAACCGATCAGCCATGTGTTTGAGAAATGCAGTGCTTTTCTTGTCTGTTTGACTCATGTGTGGGTTGTTGGTTTGTCCATTAATACTAAGTCCCAGATTTTTGAGTTTCAGATTTCAAGCAGGTCTGTGTTTAGCCTTCTAATGCCTTGCAGTAGTAAGGTGTGGTGCAGTCATCAGGTGATAAACGAGATCCTTATGGGAAAGATGTCAAGCAGTTTTCCAGCAGTAGGACAGAAGTGCCGTTCCCCGTTTCTGCCCAAAACAAAAAGACTTCGGACACTGCCACCACATGTGGATCCATGAGCTGGTGACCTTACAATTTCTCCCGCACACAGCTGATGCGTTTTCAGCCTTGGGATCTACTTCTGAGTAGAATTTAGCTGGACGCAACCCAATTCCACTGGAGCTCTTGCCCCCGTTCCTTCCTCAGCCCCCTTACCTTGTCCTTGGAGTTCAGCACGACGGCCTGGGTGTGTGGGACCCGCACCACGTGGTGGTCAAACCCAGCGGTGGGGAGCCAGACACGGGCCGGCAGCTTGTGGTTGAGCAGGGAGAGCTCGGAGATGAGGCGCTGCGTCTTCTGCTCTTTGGTCGGCAGCGTCGTCAGGCGTTTCCCGATGGCCATCAGAGACTTGATGAACTCTCGCTCCGGGGCCAGGCGGACGGGCTGCGCAGGGTTGTGGGGCTCCCCCGCCCCCAATTTTAGAGGGAGGGAGAGAAGGAGACAGAAGTTGGAACCGGTTTTTGCACAGAGGGTGCCTGCCTTCAGGACCCTCACAGTTACAGGCGGATGCCAATTTTTGCCTGACAAAAAGGTTCCTATTCTAATATCTGAATGACCAGGATTAGGTCGGGCAGAGAGGATGCCTAGTTCAGTCTTCTGCCCGCCACCCTGGGGGTGGGATCCAGCTCACGTCTAACTCAGGCCACATTCGCACCATACATTTAAAGCACTATGATACGGCTTCAAACAATCATGGCTCCCCCTCCAAAGAATTCTGGGAACCGTAGTTTAAAGGGCACTGGGGGTTGTTCGGAGATCCTCTATTCCACGCACAGAGCTATAGTTCCCAAAGTGGTTTAAAAGGGAGCTCTGGGACTGTAGCTCTTTCCTCCTCCTAAGCAGCCTTCCGAGAACACTCCACACCCTGAACAAACTACAGTTCCCAGGATTCTTTAGGGTAGGTGGGAAGCCATGACTGTTTAAAGCAGCATGATGTTGCTTTAAATAGGAAACACAGGTGGGGCAATATGATATCACTTTGAACAGTCATGGCGTCCCCAAAGAATTCTGCGAACTGTAAGGGCACTGGGAGTGGTTAGAAGGCACCCCTGCAATAAGCTACAATTCTTTGAGTTCACTTTGAAAGATTATCTTTTTTCCCCCTTTTTACACAGGTTAGTAACGGCATTGAGGGTTCAATGTGACAGGGGCTGCCTAAACAACATAGGCTCCCTGCCCATTATTGGGTCACATCCACACTAAACATTAGAGAAGCAGGAACTGTAGTTTATCCCCATGGAACTATATTTCCCAGCATCCTTAACACGCTACACTACTTAAGAGTTCTTTGGTGGCAAGCCATGTGCTTTAAAACGATGGTGGGGATGTGATTTAGACTGCAAAAAGGCAACAAATCCACATTTGAATCTTCTTTAACCACCACCACCTCTTGCAACATTCTCATTTTCTTGCAGATGTCTTGAAACCTGAAGCCACCCACCTCAAACCCCAGCAAAACATTTAACCTTTTACTCTTGATTGACACCAGCCTTCCTCTCCAAAAAAAACACCAGAGAGAGGCTGCTCTTTCTCAAATAGCCAGCAGAGGGTGCGAAAAGCTAGGAATCCTTTGAAAGAACACCAAGCAGTGCTGCACAGAAGCTGCTGCCCTCGCTGCTAAAAAGTCCAAATTGTTAACAAGTGTTTGTATATACAGCTTTATATATACAGTCGTACCTTGGAAGTTGAACGAAATCCGTTCCGAGAGTCCATTCGACTTCCAAAACGTTCGGAAACCAAGGCGTGGCTTCTGATTGGCCGCAGGAAGCTCCTGCAGCCAATCGGACCCAGCGTTCGGGTTCCAAAGAACGTTCGCAAACCAGAACACTCACTTCCGGGTTTGCGGCGTTCGGGAGCCAAAACGTTTGACTCGCAAGACTTCTGAGGTACGACTGTACAGTATATATATAAAACCAACCTAGTAAGGAAGAGAAGAGACTGTGTGTTTTCCTGTTTGCTTTTTAAGCAAGGAATTTATATGATTTATAATTGTTAAGCGATTAAATGCTTAGGAATGTCAAGAAGACACCCACAGGAACCGTCACCTGCGAAAAGAGGATGAGGAACACCTGCGGAGTCCCACAGCTGTGCCTCCAACTCCCACCCGTCTCAGCGGCCAGCATGGCCAATGGTTAGGGAAGGGTGTTGCGTGGTCCAAGAAACACCTGGATGGCCACAGATGCCTCCATCACCCTTGGGGTTAAAACCACAGAAGGCTGAACCCAAAGGGCACCAGAAGTCAGCGCACCTCTTGGGTGCACTCCAGAAAGGCATTCGGACCCCGTCACCCTCACAATAAAGCCACATTGGACTATCTTTCAGGGCCATCGGGATGCTGAGACGCTGGACCGATTTAGGCACTGGAAACTATATGCAGCTAATTATTTCCACTGATGATGGTGATTATTAACACCGCAGTGGGGAGAAAAATCCATTTCCTAAATAACTGCTCCCTGCCCACCTCCCTTCTTCAAAAATAACCAGCTTCACTTCAGCAGTTTACTCTCCCGTCAGAGGGAAGGATTATTTTTTTTTAAAAAAGGATAATTTGAAATTAATAAGCCATTCTTGCCACCACCAAAACCAAGCGCTGGTCAAAGAGACATGCAATAAAGGGGGGGGGCAAGAGAAGGGTGTTAACTGTATGAAGCTGGTGATGAAGTAGAGAGCACGCAAAAAAGAGGGGGGAAAGGGGGTTTTTTGGGCGGGGGAAGAAAACGTTAAGAGGGGGAATGAAGGCACTGAGCACAGAGGAGAGAGACTGCCCTGGCTGGAGGTAGGAAGGGATTCCCTGACAGCTTTGGGGTGTGTGGGGAAAAGGGGGTGGGCTTTGGGGCTGCTGTGTTGTCAACACAAAGTTCCCCATTTCTCCCACACTGGGGGAATCAGGTCACGCTTGATGCAAGTGGAACTTTTGCCACGTTAAGACGCCTTAAGGAGCCACCAGGATTCCCTGCTGGGGTCTCTCCCCCCCCCCCCGAACAGGTAATACCCCACCTCGGGTTGCTACAGAGCCCCACAAAGCAGCAAATTAGGGTAGCTGGGAGTCAGTTCTCAGCAGCGATGTTTACCAAGAAGCCCTGGCCCCGCTGAGACTTGCCCCTGGCCTAATCGGAATTATAGGACCGCAGCCAAGAACAACATAGGAAATCTCTTAACGTTTCTGTAAAAAGATTTTGGAACAAAGAACTCTGGGTTTTCCAGATTCCAGAGTTTTTCCAGCAAAGGGGAGGGGAAGAGGCAAGGGTCCGAAGCAGAGTTATAGGCCAGCCTGCAGAGGGGATCTGTACGGTTTGTGGGAGCTGGAGAAGATCAACTGCCTGAGATCCTGGAAAAAACCTAAGGCCTGAAAGTGTCTGATCAGGGTGGGCTGGCTGGCTTCAGCCGCCTTCTGCAGTCAGGTTCCTGTTCCTGCCCTCCATGAAACCACTGAATAAACCACGGTTTAGTGTTACATGCAGGCCAGGCCAAATGTATAGCTATGGTTTGCTCACAATCATCCCTTCTCGTCTCCTTTCCAAATTCAGACTGTAGGCTCCTTGGGGCTGGCACAACTTTGTTAAGGAGGCATAGGCAAACTCGGCCCTCCAGATGTTTTGGGACTACAACTCCCATCATCCCTGACTGCCGGTCCTGTTAGCTAGGGGTGATGGGAGTTGTAGTCCCAAAACATCTGGAGGGCCGAGTTTGCCTATGCCTGTTGTTAAGTGCTAAGTGCTCAGAGAGCACCATAAGCCACAACCCAAAGAGGAAGCAGGTGAAGATCTGTTCTTCTTCCCCCACCCCTAAAAAAAACAACACTGTAGGAACCTACAGCTCCTCTGGATGTCGTTGGGACTTCAGCTCCCATCATCCCTGGCTCTTAGCCATGCTGGCAGGGGCTGATGGGAGTCAGAGTCCCTCACCCTCACACCCACATTATAGCAAAGCCTTACAGCTATTCCTGAGCTGGGGAGGGCCAACCAAGGAAGGGGGTGGGGGGAGGCGCTGCTTACATTTGGAAGTGGCCAAACAGATTGACAAGCAAGCAAGATGGTGTCCACTGAAGCAAGGCAAATCTTTCCGTTCCACTTTCTTTCGATTTCTCAACCTCTTTCCCACCTGAAATTCTGCCTGCCACATTTCTGCACCAGTCTTTGAATTAGGATAGTTTTAAAGCACTCACAAACTCACTGGTGTTTTAGCGTGCATCATTCCTAATATACTGATTTTCGGATGCGATCTCCCCCCAAACATACACATTTCCTGCATGCTTGTTTTCTAAATGAATTGTTTTTGTAAACACTTTCCCCTAATATGCACATGCATTATTTTTTGTTTTATTTTACAAAAATAAATAAATTCAACTTTGGAGAACTGCACTGCAAAACCCAGAGAAGTGTGGGGTGTCTGCGTACTGGGTTTTGGGAAGCATTAAACATGAACCAAAATTGATATCCCCTCCCCTCCCCTTGTCCCATATTGAAGCAAGAGGGAGATGGGATGGATTTGAGAGAAGAGAGAGGCTTGGTTGATTGACACAAGACAGAATGGATTTAAAGACAGGGAGGAGTTTTTGATTGGAGGAACTGAAGGATCTTCCCCAAAGTCCAAGCCTATGTTCTCATCACGAGCTCATACGTTGATTCTACCCATTATCAAGAAGAGGGTCGGGTATTCTTAGGGAAGAAGAATCAGGTGTAATTGCTAAAAGCAAAAATTCCAACGAAAATAGGGGGGGAATTATTTGTAGACAGATGAGGGAAGAAAGAAGACAAGCAAATGAAAATTTCTACTCAACACAAGGCGCGCCAAATTAAAAATATATGTAATAATTTAAGGGCAGCAGAGAGAACAGCATTTCCTCTTTTAATTGCTCATCTGAGCAAAGAGAAACAAAATATGAATACGGAAGGCCTGCGACGAACAATTCAATGGTGGTTCCAAATGTTTTCCTTGCTCAGGCCGTATCTTCAAAGCAGGCAGGTCACTTGCCGCAAGACTTCCACCACCAGCACCCTTGTGCAGCCTGAGGTAGTGATGTGGATACGCTGAACTTGACTTTGAAAAATGAAACACAAAAATCCCTTTGCTCCCAAAATAAGAAGAGTGTGTGTAATTCAGAATGAAATATTCCGCAGTGTGATCCAATTTGAAAAGCCGACTCCATCTCCGTGAGCCCAAGGGAGGAGTCAATTCTTGTTTCATCGAAAATCAGCATCTGAAATTGCTCAGCTTCCTCTCCCCTCCCCATTCATTTTCCTTTGGTGCTGTGTATATTAGAATGCAAGCCAACAGGAAGTAAAGATTATCTTGTTTTTTAAATGTTTGTGTGTTTGGGTTCAGATGCTTCTCGTATATTATAAAATAGTAAGTCACTGCAAATGCAATGCTAAAGGACTAAACAAAGCTCTTGGAATGCTGAACTCTTCATGAGTGATATGAATTAACAATGGGCTGTCCTATGTATAAAAGGCCCTTTGGGCTTATAAAATGCCACGTGTAAGACCACGAAGAAAGGCCACGAGATTAACTACTGTACTTGCTTTGTAGGAGGCCTAGAACTCTAGCTGTAAGAGGATAAAATGTAATAGTTTAGCAGCAGCAGCTAGGCTTCCTTCCACTTATAAACATTTTAGGAAAATCAAACTGGGTGCACTTCTAGAAACGGGGTTGCTTCTCACAATTTACAGAGCCTGAAATACCTGCTTGAGGGTTATGAGGTGTGTGTGGCTAGACCTGGGAGAATGGCACAGGCTGGAATCATATAAGCAGGGACTACTGGGATACACTATGGTTGTGAAACATCACTGCCTGTTTGGGAGTACAGTGGTACCTCGAGTTACGTTACCTTTGGGTAACGTAATTTTGAGTTACGAACGCGGCAACCCCGGAAGTGTATACTTCCAGATTTCGCTTCACGCATGCGCAGGAGCGCTCTATCGCACCGCGCGAGTGTACAGAAGCGGCGCCTCCAGATACGGACTTTTCGGGGTAAGTACAGACCCCCAGTACGAATTACGTTCGTATCCAGAGGGTCCACTGTATAGATCTCTGTGGGGCCATCAAAACTCCGAAATATCTCTTCCCCATTCCACTGTCTGTCTGGATCACTGCCCCCCACCCATGTGAGCACTAAACCATGGTTTACCAAACCAGGGTTTGTCAAACCATGGTTTAATGCTATGCGTGAATGTTGCCCAGCAGCTTAACTATGGTTAGAGGCTGCTCCTTAAGGGAAATGATTTATTAAACTTACTGTTAAGCATAGGTGAGCATTACGTGTGAACAGAGACCACCTCAACTGTGGTTAGGAGCTGTTGCTGCCCCAAAGCTTTACGAGTGAAGAGTAGCTAAAAGTCCAAATTGCTTCAAGGTTCAGCAGCTATTGGCTGGTGCTTTTTGTTGAATGCGTTAACAGAAGGCTCATTTAGTTTGTACCTTAAGGGTTAAATCTGTAAAGCGTTCAAGTTAACTGGCCCAAAGGGGGATGGGGTGGAGGCTTTGCATAGCAACAAAATAGAATGGCATGGCATTCACTAAGGCAGCACATGCCCTGATTGGCTGTGTCATTGTGATCGAGTTTCCCCCCTCTGTATATGGGGTCCACCGTCTCGCTGCTATGTACAAGGGCTTGAACCAAGGAAGAAAAAGCCTTTGTGTTCCTATCTCCTCTATACAGTGGTTTTGTTCAGCTTTGCTCTGTGAAGTGTTATCAGAGCTTTTCGGCCTGGAATCTGCCTGTATTATTTAACACTTTTTAACTACAGTGGTACCTTGGTTTAAGAACAGCTTAGCTTATGAACCACTTGGTTTAAGAACACTGCAAACCTGGAAGTAGGTGTTTTGGTTTGTGAACTTTGCCTTGGATTAAGAACATGTTCTGCTTCCTGTTGAGTGTAAATTGAGTTCCCCGCTGCTATGGGAAAGCACGCCTTGGTTTAAGAACGCCTTCATTTAAGAAAGGACTTCCGGAGCGGATTAAGTTCGTAAACCAAGGTACCACTGTATTCGGTGACACAGTAAACCAAGGCTTTTTAAACAATGGCGTGGCTCCAACTGTGCCTCTATTAACTATGGTTAAGCGTTACGTGCCATGGAGACCGCTGGCTGCCAATCTGCATTTGACATGACTTTAGTATAAACAAGACAAACCTGCTGGGGAGCCTCATACCATGCAGAGCTCCACAACCCCCCTTCCCAAGCTCAACATGCACGCGGGTGGCGCATGAGTGATGGAAGAGAGAGAGAGAGAGAGGCATGACAGCCAAGGAAGTCGGTTAGCCAAAGAGGCTCAGTCAAAAATGGCTAACAGCAGTGTGGTATTGGGCTCGCTGGGGTGATTTTATTTCATTTTTTCCAAAGTGGTGGAAGAGAAGAGAGGAATGGATTTTGCCTTTGATGCTCTGCAAGATGCGTTTGCCAAGGGTGACTGGCGGGCTTAGCAAAGTGGCTTGAGATGACAACAGAGAGGAAATGCTGCTGCGAAAGAAATTATTTGTTGTTGATTTTTGGTAAATCACGGGAAGGGAAGCAGGCAGCCCAGTTGGAAGAGGCGGGGGAGAAAAACAAAAAAAGCTAAAACGCAGGCCACTTACGGAGCAAAATGATCTATCAAGGCTCTCCGTACTCGATGACAACTCCTGAGAAATGAATGAGAGGGAGGGGGAAAGGGGTGGGGTTTTTTTTGTTTTTGTTTTTTGTTTTTTAAATGTAAAAAAGGAAGGGAGAGGGAGGGAGAAAGTCGAGGAGAGAAAAGGCAAGTTTTTTGTTTTTAAAAAAACCAGCTCTGCACATTCCCTCCCCACCTGCCCCATCTCAACACAGAGAACAAACTGCAGGCGCTTTGCACGGCACAACAACGCCCCCCCCCCCCGGGAAACAACTCAGTGGCAGAATATTCTGTCCTCCTGCTCAGGAGAGGAAGGGGCTCAGAGAAACAGCGCTTTGCTTCCGACGCAGGAGAGCCAGAGGAAGCTAACTCCTCTTCCTGCTGTTTGCTCCATCACCTGGTATTCAGAGGTACATTCTGGAAGCCAGTGCAACTGCGTGGTCTTCTGGATGCTGCAGAACTGTGACTCCCCGACTAACAACATCTGGGAAGGGCCACAAGCTCCCCATCCCTGATTTAAGCCATCCAGGCTACAAGCAGTTGGCAAACCTGTCCTATGATCTTATTTGAAGATTATCAACGGCCTCGGCCCAGTATACCTGAAGGAGCGTCTCCACCCCCATCGTTCTGCCCGGACGCTGAGGTCCAGCGCCGAGGGCCTTCTGACAGTTCCCTCATTGCGAGAAGTGAGGCTACAGGGAACCAGGCAGAGGGCCTTCTCGGTGGTGGTGCCCGCCCTGTGGAACGCTTTCCCATCAGATGTCAAAGCGATAAACAACTACCTGACATTCAGAGGACATCTGAAGGCAGCCCTGTTCAGGGAAGTTTTTAATGTGTGACATTTTAGTATATTTTTGGTCTTTGTGGAAGCCGCCCAGAGTGGCTGGGGAAACCCAGCTAGATGGGTGGGGTACAAATATTATTATTATTATTATTATTATTATTATTATTATTATTATTATTATTATTATCTGAGTTAGAAGCGCTCCCTGGAGCCCACAAATTCTTTAAGTTAATGCGGAATAATTAAGACACTTGGATGCCATGGAAGGCAGCAGGCAGAGGTCTGGCTTAATGCCTACAGGTTGAACAACCTGTCTCCCCCCCCCCCCGAGGTCGCCTGTTTTCCAAAACGCCTCTGGAAACTGGAGGCTTGGCAGAGGCGCTGAGGATTTTAAAGACCAGATACCCAGATCCACTCTGGAACAGCAGCTCCCAGGATCTCTTCTGGGACAGATCCGTCAGCTTAATACGAGGCAGGGCGCAAAACCCACTGGGTGTCCTTGGGACAGTCGCTTGTGAGAACAGAATGGTGGGTTTCGGGGAGGAAAACGCAGGCAACACCCTGGATGGACAGCAAGGTAATAAAACTATAAAATAACCCGTTTGCAACAGGTGGAACAGGTCGGTGCTGAACAGGGAGCAATTCTGTTAGCAGGAGGATGGGGGGGGGAGTTCTACAAAAGTGAGAATCAGACAAAGAGAGGTGGGTGATTCTCAGGCTGTGTTATATCCTCCCCATCGTAAATCTCACACCCCCTCCCATTTTGCAAAAAAGGGAGTTTTAAAAGCCTTTTAGGGCAAGTCGACTGTGTCACTTTTTTTTTTTACAAAAAGAGGCCAGGGTTTCATCCGAGCCAAACCTTACTAAGATGTAAAACCAGTAATAACAATAAAAACAAGAGGAGGAGAGAGAGAACTCACCTTAAGAAAACCAAAGTGAAACCAAAAGTGGGCAGTGTGGTTGTTTTGACAAGCTTCCCTTAATCACATCACTTCTTTTTTTTTAGGAAGATGAACCACCCTGGAAAGGACTCTGTCTCTCGGCCAGCCTACAGAAAGAAGTGTGGAAACTGCTGCTGGACTGCAGCTCCCATCCCCAACCACTGGTCATGCTGGCTGCCAGGGCTGATCGGAACTGGGAGTTGGGCAACATCTGGAGGGCCAGAAATGCTCCCCGCCTCTGAACCCAGAGTCATTCTGCTGAAACCAACATCGGGGGCAGGTATCAAGGGCTATCTAGCACATGCTTCAAACAGCCAGGTCGCCTGGTCACCTGGGGCGACTCTCGAAGGCCTCCAGGCAATCCAACACAGAAGGGCTTTGCACTCTTTCCTCGCTCGGCATAATTTTGCACACCTCTGTTGTGTTCTCCAATCTTCCAGTCGCTTCCTCCCTCCCCAACCTGAGCATGCAGGGGAGAGACTTTGACCTTTCCTCACTGGGGAGGCATTCCACATGCATGGGCATGTTTTTCTGCATCCCTTTAAGCTTACCATTACCTTTTTATTTGAGACAGATGAGGGAAACTATGCTACGTCTCGGCACAGCTATTTCCAAATGCGGGAAAGGATGAGGAGAGTAAGAACCAAGTCGGCATAAGGAAAAGGGAGCGGAAAAGACAGTATTGATGCCAAGAGGAGGGGTGTATTTGTATACATAGAATTGTAGAGTTGTAAGGGAACCCCCCCAAAAGGTCCTCTAGTCCAGGCATAGGCAAACTCTGGCCCTCCAGATGTTTGGGACTACAATTCCCATCATCCCTGACCACTGGTCCTGTTAGCTAGGGATGATGGGAATTGTAGTCCCAAACATCTGGAGGGCCAGAGTTTGCCTATGCCTGCTCTAGTCCAATGCAGGAATCACAGAAGACAGGATTTCTCTCCATCCACAGTTAATAAATTCATAGAATCACTGAAAGGTTGGAAGGGACCCATTCTGTGGATGGGACAGTCTATCCTGTTCATGTGGACCGGCCACAATATCCATCATCCTCTCATCCAAAGAGCCTATGTCAGGCTTCCTCAACCTCGGCCCTCCAGATGTTTTCGGACTACAATTCCCATCATCCCTGACCACTGGTCCTAGGGATCATGGGAGTTGTAGGCCAAAAACATCCAGAGGGCTGAGTTTGAGGAAGCCTGGTCTATGTATTAAGATTATCTCCTGCAGAACTGACGCAGCGATGGCTGGATGGACTTCGCCCCACATTTACGGCCGGCTATTAATGATGGTTTTCCGCTTGCAGTCCTCGCGGGGGTGAGTCGAGAGGAGATGAATGGCCGACTGCTCCCCCCATCCTGGCTCTGGGTTCGCTGACGATGCTTTTTTCCCCAGCACAGGGATAGGCTTTGTTATGTGTGCGCAAGGAAGATGGTGTTATTTCCAAGAGTACCAAAAACTGGGCCAAATCATGCGATGAGGACCGTTCCCCCCCAGTTTATGGAAAACAGAAGCAGGCATAGAAGCCAGATGGAGGAAGTCTGGCCAAGTCACCGAGGTGACAGAAATGGTTGGAATTCTTCTTTTATGTTCAAAGGGCCCCAATTTTTTTTAATTTTTTTTTTAAATTGAACGAGGCCAGGAGAAAGGAGAAGCTGTTGGGCCCATTAGAAAAATGTAAAATGATCAGACTTTAAAAAGGGGGGGAAGGGAACACTGCGCTTCCTTCACAGACACACACAAAGCCCACACAGTGTATGACACCCCACAGAGGACTTTGAGACCTCTCATAGATAGCAGCTTTATGTCACAGAATCAGAGTTGGAAGGGGACCCTGAGGATCATCTAGTCCAACCCCTTGCAATAATAATAATAAACCCCACCATTCCTCCTGAAGGAACCCAGGAGGCAAATGCATCCGTAATAGCAAACCACTGCGAGGGTTTTTGTTTTTACAATCAAGCAGTGTATAAATGTCCTGAAATAAAATAAACAAATAAATAAACACACCAGTATGGTTAAAAAGAAAAAAGCTTTTTATCTTGAACTGGTGTAAGAAAGTGCAGGAAAATGCAAACACACACACTTGATTAGGCAAAGCATAATGCGTTCTTGTATAATTATATGGAGGTTTTATGTATATCAGGAAAGCAATATGTACTATCAAGTTTCCATTATTAAACAATTTTTTTATCACTTCCATTTCTTCCCTTGGATTAATGCTGTTTCATGTGAAAGAATGAATGAATTAATGAATTAATGAATAAGAAAATGAGTGTTAAAGAATGCTCATCAGGAATCTACAATTCCGTGATTCTCTGACTGAACCGATTGGAAATGTACATCCCTCCCAGCTGAGCTGATTGGCTGCAGGCCTGCCCATCTTGACATTAAAAAGGCCTCTTCGCAAGGGATCAGAGACGGCGGAAGCCCTTGTCCGATTTCACCTGGTTTCCAAACCCAAACAGGAAACCTCTGCAGTGATGTCGATATTCCCCCGGTCCCCACTTGTCGGTGTCTGAATCATCCTGAGTCACTCTCACCCAGTTGCCACAGAGACCTCAGAGCAAGGGGAGCGTTCCTTGCACAAAGGTTGCCCAGCTCTGCCAAACACACACACACACAAAACGCCTGCCTGCTGTGTCACCGCAAAGCAGGTTCCTAAGTGCTCTCATGTTACACAGCAAGGATTTCCTGGCAGGACACAACTGGCTCCTCCTCCAACACCCCCTGCAATATTACCTGCCCAGGTGCAAATGCCACAGCGAGACAGAGAGAGAGAGAGAGAGAGAGAGAGAGAGAGAGAGAGAGAGAGAGAGACGCTCAAGTTTCTGTTCTTAACGCTTTTTTAAAAAAGTGAAGAAAAATAGACCGTCCTCATTTGGTAACTCTGCAATACAGTGGTACCTCGGGTTAAGTACTTAATTCGTTTCGGAGGTCCGTTCTTAAGCTGAAACTGTTCTTAACCTGAAGCACCACTTTAGCTAATGGGGCCTCCTGCTGCCGCCGAGCCGCCAAAGCACGATTTCTGTTCTCATCCTGAAGCAAAGTTCTTAACCTGAAGCACTATTTCTGGGTTAGCGGAGTCTGTAACCTGAAGCGTATGTAACCTGAAGCATATGTAACCTGAGGTACTGCTGTACTTTAAAGTGGGCAGACATCAGGATTGCAGGATCTGTTGCTGCCGAGAAGCAAATTTCAAAACAGAGGCCCAGATGGGCACACGCACAGCTGGCTCTGAGGGGCAGGGCATGCCTTTTGAGCCCAGAGCCTGGCATGCAAAGCCCTTCCGTGGAAAAACCCACACCT